CTCGTCGCGTGTGATACGCCTCCCAACGCAGAAGCCAAATGATGGCCCGATCCAGCCGAATCCCTGCACCGGGATGGCACACTGCTGTTGGGACAACTGCAATCAAAGGCAGGAAGCTATCCGGCGATTCTTGCAATAGCCGCAGGCAAGCCACCTGCCTGTGGCGATGCCGGTTTCGGCTCAGTCGGCCGGACGGTGGTGGAGGCGCGGTTTGTCTTCACGGTGGAGTCGTCAATCCGACCGCATCGGGCAGAGAGGTGGGCTTGAAGGCCTAAGAGTCGGCGGTGGAGCAGCTTCAGGCGCTGTCGCTACGGGAGCCTAGAGCCGAAACGAAAGGCCGAAAGAAGGACAAGGAGTCCAAAAACAAGAAGAAGAACCCGACATCACCGGGCAGCAGAAGCACGTCGAGTGCCTCAATCAGCAGCAGCAGCAGCAGCAGCAGCAGCAGCAGCGGTTCGTGCGGCAAGAAGAAGACGTTGAGATGGAAGGACCGGGCCAGGAACAAACGAGTGAGCCACGACGACCTCACCTACATGGACGGCCTCAAATGGGAGAAGAACGGCGACTTGTTGGATGCAACAAACGACTGAGCTACGACGACCTCGCCCACGCGGGACGGCCTCAAATGGAAGAAGAAGGCTCTTTGTTGGATGCCACAAACGAGTGAGCTACGACGACCTCGCCCAGGCGGACGGCCTCAAATTCGACTTGTTGGCCTTTGCATCGAAGCGTCCGTGGGCGTTGACGGGCTTGAGCGAGATCAGGGATATAACGGAGGTTCTCACCCTGGCCGAGATCCTGGATTCGGTGAACTGGCGGGAGATCGAGCGGCTGATGGACATCCTTTGTCAGCTTGGCGATCCAGGCGGCGAAGTTGAAAGGTGGAAGCTGGGAGAAGGCCGAGGCCATCGAGATGGTCTCCACGTAGAAGTCCCTGGCCAGCAGCTCCACGCTGGCCCTCACCAACGCTTAGGTTGGCTTCTGGATCACCTTTGAAGCAGGCAAATGCCTGCAAGGAGGGTGTTGCGCTGATCCGCAGTTGGGATTTGGTCGTTTGTATTCGAAGGTTGTGGCTGGTTTGGCCAGGGTTTGGGTAGTGTGCACCGGAGCTGCCCACTCGGATATCAACAGCATCGTCTCCGTGGAGTTTTGGGTGCTTTCAGAAAAGGGTTGGCAAAAGCGTGAAGCATTCTCCTTTTCACATTGTACCACGCCTGAGCTTAGCACGGCTTGGTTCAAGGCGCCAATTTGTTGATCGCCATCTTGAATAATACGAGCTTCTTTCGTCAAGTGGGGCTTGACAAGTATCTCAACCAATCAGGACACTACTCCGGGGCAGGGGCAGTGTTTGCACTCGGGGTAAGAGGAGGTGTTCCGCCGAAGGCTGCCGATGTACCGTTGCGGCAGCATCTTCAGAACAGTTTCCAGAGATGGCGATGCAGGTAGCGCGTCTGAGTGCTCTGTTACTTCCATCCAAGAAGAGGCCGAAGCGTGTGAGAAAAGGTTACACGTGTGTGTCGCACTCTTACCCCCAGCTTGTGAAATGCAATTTGAATGCCGGGCTGCGGTAGACCGCCTAATCGGAAAGCATGGCCTCGTACACTCCGCTCGTCCTACATTGAGGTCCATCTCCGAGCGCAGTTATGCTTGGCTATCGACTTGAGAGCCCTGGTCGCAGGCGGGATCTGGTGCGAGTTCCGGATGAGGTGCGGGTAGAGGTGGCTATGTTTGCCATGCTGTTGCCATTCGCTCCGGAGCGGAGCACACGTATTGAACGCGCCGACGCTTCTATGACTGGTATTGGTCGAGCATGGGCATTGTGCCGAAACACGTGCTGGAAACCTGGGCTAGATATTCAGACCATGGCCGTGTGTGCACCAACCTCAAGCTTCCCTGAAGAACAGGCCTCAATTCGGAGCACAAGCGTCCTCTGAGACATGTTCACATACCCATTGAGCGTCCTGTCGACTCGGAAGCTTGTGCGGGCTTGCAAAGTTCAGAGGCCTCGACATAAAGCTAGGCGTGGCTATGACCAACATGTTCCAGGCCGCTGGAGACAAGGCATTTGGCCTTTACCTCGACGTGAACATGAATGCGAGTTCCTGCATGATTAAAGCTGGGGGAAAGCTCATCAAAGGGCGACAGATCATTGCGATAAGGTTCGAGAGGGGATAGGTTGGACATGATCGTCACTTTGGTCTGCTTGACCAGACTTCAATACCCCGGTGATGCGACGCTCAACCAGTTCAAGCAAACGTGGCCGGAGATCATCAATCGCATGCGCCCGGAAGAAGTGCCCTCACATGCAGCACTCCGGGATTCATTGTACAGCAAGATCAAGGAGTCTCCGTTGATGAAAAAGGGTTGACGTTTCACTATGACATCCTGAGTTACGATCATCCTGATCGAACGTACCAGTGCCTGTTCAACATCATGGACAGAACCATCATGCGGAACAGAGAGAACGCACACCTCGTGGCAACGCAAGTTGGTCCCCGTCAGATGTTGGATGTCAGATCCGAATCGACGGACTCCAAACGCAAGCAAAGGATCAGGTGCAAGTTCCACTTTTCCGATAGAGTGGAGACAAGTGCCCGTACAGCCATTCGAAGCAAAATTCGGAAGCAAGATCAATGTCCAATTCCACTCACAGATCAAGGCAACCGAGTCTATCATCGCATCCATCGTCACCCCCAGGCTCATGCTCATGCTCCAGAGAGAATTGCCCGTACAAGCATGATGCGCATGCTGCGGCGGCGTCATCTGCTGATCCCAAGAGAAGGCAAAGGCGAAGGCAGATCCGAAGAAGGGGCCGCGGGGCAAAGCCAAGGCTGCTCCTGCGATTCCGGCTATTGCTATGTGCAGAGCATGGAATCCTCTTGCTCATTTTGCTCCCGTTGCACGACGAAGACCGCAGCTTCTGCAAGATGACGAATCGGGTTGTTCATCCCTGGCAAACGATCCAGATTCCGATTGCTCGACAGACGATGAAGACGCGGACAGTCTTATGGCAATCAATAGTCACAAGAATCGCAGCATGTCGTTCGCTGCAGACATTGTGTGCCATTCAAGCAAGCCAAGGAAATGGTACAAAGAGAAAGGGAAGCGTGTGGCTGGAGTTGATATGGAGTCGATAACCCATCATGAAGAACGAGCAGTGAACTTGACGGCGAGAGACATCGCGCAAGGGCGAAGGCATGCGAAGGCACACCTCATGAGGGAAATGGTAGGAGCACTACATTCGAGTGAGATTGCCTGGGACAAGCTTGGTCGCAGAGTTTGCAGATTGTCAAAACAGGAGAGTGAGGCAGCTCTAAAGAAGAACCCGAACATGCACATGGTTCAACCTACATTACATGGGTTCTATCCAAGATCAAGTTCATCATCGGCGCAGGATGTGGGCATGATCTCATTTCCCAACGCTAGGTGGGCAAGCAGAATCTGGAGACGCTTGTCGGTGAGAACAAGTGGCGTCACTGAATCAGACATGATCGCAAGCTTTTTGTGACAGTGTACACTTTCCAACCACGAATCCGGCAGGAGGCTATTAAAAATGCAGCTGTCACGAGGATCGCATTCCTGACATGCGCGGTTCCTGTGACAACTGACCCAAGAAAGGGACAGTATATGCTGATGATGATGATCATGGTCATGACACCAACCCACCCCCCTCCCCAAGCAGACGCATACCCCGAATTACACGAGACTGCAGCCTCAAACCCGAACCTCGCCACACCACAGGTGGGAGGGGAGGTACCCCCCAAACTCGAGCCACGCCACACCACAGGGGCGGGGAGGGGGGAGCCGCACCGGCATCATATATAGAGTTTTTTCACACATATGAGTCTATGTCCGAAACCACACCAAAGCACGTAAATCATTCGAATCGAGCACGCGCATCAATATGCTCCGGTCTGATACCTCGAACGCGACTGCTTGAATTCGAGACCTGCCCACTCGAACAGCCAGGCCCTTCCACTCTTCGGTGTACTTCACGAGGCAGCAGGAAAAGTGACGGTGTGACAAGAGCCAGGTCATGTCCTTGAATCTTTCCATGGCGGCAAATCTGATGTTTCTGGTAGGCGAACCGCGTGCATTATCTCGTCAAGGCAAAGGCTGGGTTTCTGACTGTTTGGCTTGGCCCCTGTGGAGAGCTGCAAGACAACAACGTGCTCCTTGCGTCAGCTGCGATCAAGCAGTTTGCCGCTCGTTTCTGTGACATCCCCTGCTGCCTTCTGAATTCAGCCTTTCTGGATGCCGATGTATTGGCCCGCTTTCTGCGCACAAGTGACACTGGTGATGGTGAGAACGGATTGCCGACGGCTGTCGCGGTGCTCTTCTTGGGCCAGCTGTCTGGCAGGAGAGCCTGCAATGGAAAACTGACATCGGAAGCCCTGAAACGTTTCGTTTGCCCAGTTCAGCTGCCGCTGAAAAGCGCAGACAGACTGCAGGCATTCGTCGAAGGCGCCCTGGCTGGTGCGATAACAGGTGAGGACATCTCTTCCACAACACCCTTGTTGGGCGAAACCTTCGCCAGGAAGCTGCATCAAGGACTCGCTGCATAGTGTTTGGCGGCTACATCCGAGTGTTTATCGTCGCCGGTCAAAATCACAGGAGGGAGTTGCGAGCTTGTCTTGTGGCACATTGTGGCACAATATCTAGAAATTCTAGAGCCTGCACCCGGAGCGTCAAAGTAGGATACTACAGGAGCTTAGAGTTGTGTTGAGATGACTGTGCCACCGGATTGGCCTGACTTCGAAACGGAAGATGAGTAGCTCCCCACCGTTCCCTGCACAAGCCTCTGAGGGGCCATGTGCACAGAACGGTTTAGAAGTTTAATAGATTGCCGTGATGCTGCAAACCGAAGGTTGCAAGAAAGCATCAGAAGCCGAAGGAAGACCATCCAGGATTCCATTTGATTGCCATGCGAACATCAGACATGCAATGGGCTTGTGCAGAGGTCTTGTTGTGCGGCTGCTCAAGTAGACACCGAAACCAAGGCGTCCCACTTCTCTGGGAAGATGTCGCGACTAGTGCTGATTTGTGGCCCGATCGTGTCTGTGGCCTGTGGCCTCTGAGCTGCATCTAGCTTCACCTGTCATCGCGGCATTATCGATTCACGACAAAGGTGTTGTGTCACCACCAGACTATTCATTCACAAGCTTTCGGCCTTTCAGCCTCACCACTGTTTCTGCAGATAGCTGTGGCCCCTTTTATTCTCAGTGGTGTCGGTGGATGAAGCACGGACGTAAGACGGAACTGACGCTTCGGCTTTTGACCCAGCCGTATTTCTTGGGTGTTTAGGAATATGGTGCGGCTTCCTTCTGGACATGATCGTAGAACCGCCTCTTGCCTGGCAGTGTTTTGCCCGCTGAGCGGTCTGCTACCGGCTCGATTTTTCATGTGCTGTCTCTTCAGGTTTTTGCTGCTGCTGGGCAAGAAGGGTTACGGACCCCCTGCTTCTGCAGTGGACGACACACCGAAGTGTGCGGCCCAGTTTCCCGATGTGCCCTAAGCCCTAAGCCAGTACTTCTGCAGATCTATACTCGATGTCAAGCTCTTCACGCACAGCTCTCACCGCTGTCAGGTCCGGCAAAGGAAAGGCAGAGAAAGACAAGGGAGACAAGTCAGGAGTCGCAGTGATGACCAGATCTACTCGCCAACCATTCGTGCGTCCCCTTTGTCTGCAGGAAAGGACAAAGATGCAAAGAAGAAGAGGCAGCGGGATCAATCACATAATCCGGCAACGAGGGGCGAGGGAAGATGCATGTTCTGTCAGTTCTACTTTGTAGCTCTTTTGAAATGCCCCGCTTATTCCCGATCACTTCTTGGGCCAACCTTCTGTAGAAGTCTGTTGAAGCTGCTGTGCCATATGTGTGGCATTCGGGTTGTGATAAGGAGCCTCAAAGAGCAAGTCCCTGAGCTGGAAGAGCATGAAGAGGAGCCATGGATGTGCAGTTAGCAGTTAGAGAGTGGCGAAAGCAAGTAGTATGAAGTGGGTTGGCAGGAGCTGCGCCCTGGTGGCGCAATGCAGCTGAAGCGCATGTTCAAAGGCTCCGGCACAAGTGTCCTCTAGTTTGCTACTGGTCACTGGTCGTGTTTTCGGCATGACCCAGGGAGTTTAAAACTAGCCTGGTACGATGCGTGGGCGGAGGACATGCAACGTCAAAGACCCGCAAGTCTTGTCTCGCGAACTGCTACATACCCACAGTCCAAGCCAATGCTTGGCCTCAGGCTACTGCTGGAAGATGCTTCCCGAAAATTCTGTGCGGCCTGGCACAAGCATTGTTCATTGGCCACGCGACTTGGTTGTGGTTGTTGTTGCTGGTGTTGTTGTTGGTGGTGTTGGTGTTGGCGTTGGTGTTGGTGCTGTTGTTGGTGGTGGTGCTGCTGCTGTTGTTGTCGTTGCTCAAGTGGCTGTTGTGGTTGTTGTTGTTGCTGGATGTGTTGCCGGGAAAGTTTCTACATGGAGATTTGCATGTGGTTGTAACGTCTAATATGCGCCTACACCGTGCTTGGTGCTCTATGCTGATGCTGCTGCTGCTGCTGCTGCTGCTGCTGCTGCTGCTGCTGCTGCTGCTGCTGCTGCTGCTGCTGCTGCTGCTGCTGCATGTTGCCTACAAGGCTTCTACATGGGGATTTGTCGTCCTCCGCATGCTCTCGCCTTTGCTGTCTCAAGCGGCGTTCACATGGGATGTGCTAAGCGTGCTTTCTGTTGTGGGCGGCGCATGTTGTCCGAAGGGCATCTGCATGGTAGGACACGGCGTCGTTCAGGATATCGTTCTGGTATCGTTCACCATGTCGTTGTGTTTAAAGGATCGGCATTCTTTTCGAATCTCTTCCCTTGGTGACACCTGTTCACTCAGGGAGGATGTCCGAGCTGCCCGCTATGCGTTTGACAGCAAACCACTCCTTCTCTTGGTCCGAGCTGCGGCATCCATCGATGCCTGGACTGCACAGCCAAAGCCAGTACTTCTAGCGACGTGGGGGGATGACATTCTTGAGATTAAATTTGGAAGTAGAAGGGTTTTGTGAGTTCTAAGATGCATTCCTTTTTGCGAGCTGGCCGTCCTTCCCGACAAATTGTGGATGGGTTTCCGGTCGTTGCCCGTGTGAATTGCGAGGTGTTTGTTGGGTATATGCTGACCATGAGACGCTCGGCGCAGCAAGCCGCACTGTCGCGATGCAGCGTTCAGGTCGCAGCTGCATGCAAGGGGCATGGCGGTGGTACTTCATGTTTAAAGAGCGTTTTTGCGCGTGTTGTTGCACTCAATGGTGCAATTCCGAGCGGCTTAAGTTCTGCTAAGGCGAGCTCCGATCAGAAATTCCAGACTTTGTGGATCGATGCAAAGCCATTGGAGCTCGAAAGGGAAGGGGCCGTGGCATGCAGGTCAATGCATGTCGGGTGAGCGCCTGTCTCTTCCAACACTGTACGCGCAAGGGCCACGATGGGGATGCTCGTGCATGGTAGACTAATTCTCGTCCGTCCTCCCACGTCCTATGCGTTGTGCGTATTCCTGCATCCTGTGTCCCGCCGTCTCTGCGGGAAATAACAAACTATACCCTGCTCGTTTTGAGCAGACTTGATAAGCATCAATCTTGTCGCGAGGAGAACAGGTCGCGAGCCCCACGGTCATGTATGCCGTCAGGCAGAAGGCTTCCTAGCTGCATATAAGACTAACCTTCGTCGGGATAGTGCGTGCCATGCACGCTTTCAAGGATGGCACCAATTACATCGTGGATGATTATTACAAGGGCTACAAGTGGCTCGAGCCACTTGGCTTAAGATCTGCTGCGATGTGGGGTTGATCAATTTTTTGGAACCCCCGTAGAGCTACTAGGAAAAACACCGCGGAAGATGCCCGAGTCATGGCCTGGTGGGACTACGGCAGCTCAGAATGCATGGCTTACACTCCTTGCATCCATCCTTGGACTGCTGCGTCTTGAGCCAAGGCTACCAGATCACTGGCATTGGCAACAGGCACTGCCGGCATCGGTCTAGGTTTTATGGATGCACGCGGGGGGTTGTTGCTTACTTCAGCTGCGTGCTTCACGTCGGCACGAGAAAGAAGTCAATACTGAAGCTGGCAGCCAGCCAAGTCAACACTAAGTAGATGCGAAGCACGGTTCGTGATAAAAAGGGGAGAGAGAAGGAGAGCGAGAGTGAGAGAGAGAGAGAAAGAGTCATGTGACTGCACCTCTTCAGCATGAATTCCGCCTTTGAGCCCATGAGGGCGGAAAAACCCAGAACCGAGGCTTCGCACAAACTCCTGATGAATTGAAATCTAGACCGACGGTTATGTTCCTTGAGTTTGAGCTGTCCTTTTTGTGCGATCACTGCCTCTTTTGAGTACGCTTTTCTGAGACTCTTGGCGGGGGCGCACTTGCGCGCGGTGGGGAGGCAACTCCCCACGACAGCCCTGGCGGAAGAAAGAGAGAGAGAAAGACAGGGAGCTTGACCCGCTCCCTTGACCCATTTCGCCTCAAGGGGGAGGTTGCAGGGGAAAGGCTCGGAGTAAACTAGTCTAGAGGAGAGCACCTTGAAGCCATCATAGGGTCAACGTAAAGAGCGTGACGCTACATCGACCGCTCGGAGGGGGAAGCTGCAAGGCCTACTTCAGAGAGCCGTCTGAGTTCAGTGACCAGCTCCTTCCTTAGCCTGAGGGGATTTGCCTTTTCTCTGCGGCGTTGTTCTTAACGGACCTCGAGACTGGGCGGGAGAATCGTTCACCTACCCGGTCGTGATAGTGGCAGGAAGGGCGAGATATGGCGAGATCAAGATAATCCAACTTGGTGGACTGTTCCCCCGCTCCATTATAGGGGGACATGGCAGTTGCGGAGGATGCAGTTTGCCGCTTCTGTCGACAAGGACGGGGGAAGTGCATCCCTGGTTTTTGCAAGACACATGTTCGAACAGATCCGCGATGACGACTTCATGGGGAAACGACACGACAGACAGCCTTCGAAGACAGGCCAAAGCTGAGTAGCAGTGACCACAGAGAACTATGTGAAGTTCATCGAGGAAGGAGAACCACCGGACGACGGCGACCTGGCCTCGGACGCGACTTTCTGGCGGGGGAGGATTGCTTGCCATCGGGGATGCGGAGCAATCCAACCCCCAAGGATAGTGGAACTCAGCGCCATGGCTTGGAAGCCGGGACTATGTCAAGAAGCGTGCCAGGGGGAGATGAAGCACCAAGCTATGTGCTCCCAGAACGTGGGGGACAAGCCCCTGTCACGCCGGAGTCGCCAGAGGGGAAACGAGGCCGCGCTCACCCTTGCCGCGATGCAAACCGCAGCCAATGGCTACGAACCAAAGAATGTCTTCTGACCCTGTAGGGTGTACGGCGGAGGCAGCAAGGAAGCCTGGAAGATAGCAAGCAAACTGCGGTACCGTGAGCAGCGGAAGGAACAACGACGTGTAAAGGCAACTGGGAACAGTGCACACTCGAGTGACACATGGGGACGACGCTGAAGTCTACGAGCGGTGATGGGCAAAAACTCGTGCACAAAGCAGACCCAGGAGTGTAGGGGGGACGTTGTTTTGGTTTGAAGCTTTGGTTCTGCTGAAAGTGCCTCCTTACCTCCAAACCAGAAGTTTTTCTCGCTCCTTGGCCGGGCGAGCCTGCAACCCGCGCCGCCTGATGAACTTTTCGACGGTAGCTCCGACTGCCCTATGATCCGAATTTTTTTCAAGCTTGAAGAACTCCTTGGGGGATGGACCCCCCGGGGGACATACCCACATGTGCTGAATTGCAAAGTGGCTTGTAAGCTGTTTGCGAAACGCAGTCAGCGCTTGTATGGCAACCGAACCTGCCGCGATGTACCTTACCGAATGCAACCGGCTACCTTTCTCGCAGGGAAAGCTAAATTCGACCGACTGTACTATTGCTTCACCGCCAAGTTCTACTTGAGCAAGCCTGAAGCAACATGGGGGACGTCAGTTTCTGCTCTGACTTAAACAACATACTTGGCTTCAAAATTGCTTACACCAGTATGTTGATTCAAACTGATGTTCGCCAGTGCTTTCACTGTCCCTTCACAGCCCCCGTAACAGATGGGGGGCCTAGTGGCCAGGGACCTCGACAGTCCCCTATGCCTTGTGGAAGAAGACAGAGAGAGAGAGAGAGAAAGAGATTGGGGTCAATGATTACTTTTCTAGGGTACGTGAAGTACCCTTCTCTCCTTCCATGCTTGTACCATAGGGGGAAACCCCATCTTTCAACTGTAACTCAGTTTCTGACGGGCCGCTGGAGCCTTCCAAAATCTTACTTTGGCAGCCTCCGCTCGAGGCATTTGCATCCATACTTCTGTATGAATTCATTCGACGCGCCGCTGAGCCTCCCAGGCACTCTTCTCCATAGCACTTTTTCAACTGCAAAACTCATGACCCCGTCCTTTCAGGCCGCCCACCAAGCTCGATTTGAGCTGACTTTACTTCGCTGTTCTTCCCCGTTTCTTTGCGAATCTGCCTTGGTGGAGCGCGCACGCAATGTTCAATGTCTCCCACACCTGTCGGGGGCGCACCTGCACGCGGTGTAGAGGGTCTCCCCCTGCACCACAGCCCTGGCGAAAGAAAAGAGAGAAAGAGGGGAGGGGTCAAGCCCTGCACTTTAGCCCTGGCGAAAGAAAGACAGAGAGAAGACGCGCAGGGCAAGGGGCCACAGCTGCTTTGCCTTAAAGATTGCAGCAAGCAAGCACAGGCATTTTGTAGCAAAGGGGGCAAAATACTACCAGTACTACCAGTAGCGACGAAGGGGACAAAGTGGGAGAGCGATTATGGGACCCTGCTTAGCATGATGGACGTCAGCGTCAACTTGAATCGCTATCCTTGTCAGGGCTGTACGCCTAGATGACCTTTGTTTCCGTTCAGTCCACTCGAAAGATGGGGTGCGCCCTTGCGCAACTAGGTGGCAATCCTCCCTTCAGGCCCACAGAAAGAAAGAGAGGCGGATTTCTTGTTACCGAGCTGTCCCGCTCGGCCAAACAGTGGACTCCAGCGCGTGCATGCGTGCAGGGGCTTCGGAATTCCCCCATCCTCGTGTGGTGAAGAAGAATACGAAGAGGAAGAACACAAAGAAGAAGAAGGAAACAAGTGAGAGAGAGACAGAGAGCACCGGTAGCAAGCAAGCAAGCAAGCAAGCAAGAGCGGCGAGCAGCAGGGCAGTCCTGAACTGTACCAGTGGCCATTGTGCAACAGCGCCGAAGGAAATCCACACACCGAGAGCGATTTTACCAAGCGAATGTTTGTGTGGCCAATTCTGAAAACTGGATTTCTTCAGTGCCAGGACTTCCATTGCCGACGGGAACACTTGGAACCATGAGCACATAGCGACGCTCGGGCGAACACTCACGAGTGAGGCCGGAGCGAGGCTTTCAGCAGAGCCAGGCACAGAAAAGTCGCAGCTGCAATGATGCCACGAATCAAAAGTTTCCAGGTGAAGCGGGCGCACAATGCAATTCGGCACTTGGCCGACTATGTTCTTGTTTGGGGCGGCGGGCAGCCACTTGGCAAGTTCGGCATGCAGGCCGCGGTACGGAGAACTGACTGATTCGCTCCGGGAGGCGAGATGATCTGGGCAAATCGCCTCACCTCGCAAGGCGAGAACGTCCGACTGAGTGTCGGTGACTGTCCTGGGGGCTTGGGCTCGACAGTCCCGCACCGCTACCCTTGCAGTTGCAGGATCGGCAACTCTGTTTTCCCAGACCATTGCGGTGATGACGATCCGAAGTGCACAAAATTCGGTTCCATGGCCTGGCTAGGACGCTATTAAATTCCATTAATTCTGTTATGTGCACGACCTCAAAATAGACCGCCGTCCAGAATTGAGGACTGGTTGTCCGGTCATGTTTTCGTAATCAATAGCTCATCAGACGATGTGATGATGTTTCATGCGCAAAGGCTTCTATGCCGACCGGTCACCGACGCCCATGATGGAGAAGTCGCTGTTGTACAAGCTGGTGTCCTTGACCTGCACAACATGCTTTTGAGAGGTGGAGATTCCTTCAGAAAAAAAATTCGGACCTGATTGGGAAGGGACGGCATGTAAGAAGGTGACTGCTTCAAACATCTCAAGACCTTATCCAGCGCCTGAAAGGCGCAGGAAGCCCAGCCCGGCACCGGTTTTTTGAGGGCCGCCCGAGTACTGGCGTTTGCGGCAAGTCTTTGCATTTAAACTGGTCAGCTGAGCCAGCTTCTGCAGCCCCACACCTTAGGTGGAGCACAACAACAAAAAGGGTGTGCGAGTCAACGAGAGCCTCTCTCAGCAATCACATCGCCTATATCGCCTCAAGTCTGCAATTCACTGGCTGGCAGACTACCCCCGAGGCGCTACTTCAAGCACGTGCACACCACCAAGCACGGCCTCATGCAGCCTGGACCGCTCGAAGACCAGCCTTCGAGGTCATGGCGCTCTGGAAGGTTCCGGCAAGTGAAAATCTTAGCCAAGGCGAATCTACGAGGTGCAGAACGTCTCCCAGGCAGCCTACATCGTCAGATGCAATGAATCAATGAATGATGAAGCCTACACGCGGGAGCCCATGGAAGGAAAGCAAGGACTGGATAGCAGATCCGAAAAATCGCGTTTGTGACGCCCCTGGGAGCTGGTACTGTGCTGAACTCAGGTCATACAGCCTCTTCTGAAGACACTAATTATGACACTTGAATTGGCATGCTGATGACGAGGCGTCGGCCAGTACCCCCCTGCCTTGAGCAAGCTGATATCGAAAAGGCGAAACTTCGCGCAGATTGAGGACAGAAGGGCACTGGCAAACACAGCTCTCAAAAAACTTGGTCAGCGATGCCAGGCACAGGTAATTTGGAGCAAGCGTTAGCGACCGAAAAAGATGCGAACAGGACTTCAACCGAAAGGGCGAGAAAAGCGCCTACACTCGTCTCATTGAGAAAGAGAAGGGCGAGCTGTGACAGCCCCGAGGCTTGAGACACTTGTTTGTTGACGCTGCACAACTCTAGATTTCCAAGAGCGAGACGAATGGTGCGACATGTTTGAAAGAGACGTGACAACATTTCGTAAGTGGGGAAGTGGTAGCAGTACGTACATTTACAAGAGGCACTAGGCATCATAAGATGGCATTAATAGACCAACAACAACTCAGAAGCAACAGAAGAATCAGTGGTAGTGGTCGTAGCCGTAGTAGTAGTAGTAGTCGTAGTCGTCGTCGTCGTAGTAGTAGTAGTAGCAATACTACTAGTAATACTAGTAATAACTAGTAATGCTAGTATCACTAGCACAAGTACTCGCAGTACTAGCACTGCATAGTCGGGGACCTTGCTGGCCAAATTGCCAGCTCATGACTGCAGTCGAATTACGCAACACTGCGGCTTTAGCTTTGCAGGTGTGCTGAGCACCGAAGCCGAGACGACGTGAAGGAAGCGTGACAAGAGCATTATATCATTATATTGACCGCAGGTAGAGTGGAAAGTATCTTGGGCTTGTTCCTGCAACCCCCTCACCCTCAACATCCTGCCAGTGCAGGTGATCGTATGTGATCGTCTTGGTTTTCCTGTGCTTTACCTCGGCCTTACAGTTGGAGTGGTGATAGGCGTGTACACATGATAGAATACACCCCGTCACAGAACACAGTGGTGATTAACATGGTGTTTGACGTAGACTAACCCTCTGTCCTGCGAACGGGAAAACATGTTTCCCGCCGATGCACTCGTGGCTGGCTGGCATGTGAAGTAATGTTGGGGTGGTTCTAATAAACAAGGCGACAATCAAAGTATTTTCCGGGTCAAAATTTCCGGGCGAGAGGAGTTTAGATTGTGGGCCCAGATCCAGCCAAGCAATTGACGTTGGGACCTCGGTGATATTTGTAGACCGGTGACAGTTTCAATATTCGAGGCCGAAATCCCTAAAAATTTAAAAGCCTGGGTTGAGAAGAAGTTTATTTTTAGAGAAAGAAGGGGGGAAGCCTATTACTATTACTAAGTCTTGTTACTACCAATACTACTAATGCGATTTTCCCTATTACTCTTGCTACAGACCCCGGACCCGCCCGCAGGTTTTCTATTGCCACCCCGCAACCCAACCACCACCCCAGGAGACCCTCGACAAACAACCTGAGAGGGGGGGTTATCAATAGCACCCCAACATTAATTGTCGCGATGCTCGTTGAAACACGGCTGAGACTAGGCGGGTGATAAACGCTCTTTCGACCCTTAACTCCTTGCTGTTTTCGGCTCGATGTACGTAATCTTGCGAACACGGGCAGGGGCTGGGAAGGATAATGCTGTAGCCTGGTGTCTTAGTCAGCCTGCATACCTTGGTTATTGCCCCAGAGAATGTACAACCACAGTTCAATCTCTTCCAATGCACAAAGTTGGTCGGGAACATCTGAACTAGTATAAAACGAATGTCCAACAAGCACAAGACTAAGTGTCAGCATCTGCTGCCAAGCTGAGCGATGATCCTACTGCCGCGAGAAGCTGTGGACAGGAATGCCTATCACAGAGTTTCGATAGGAGGCCATCCGATTCTTGCATGGGCCAAGGCAGCTTCGCAGGATGCCAAGAAAGTAGTGTCACTGACACGTTTTAACTCGAATTCGACGGGTGCGATGCCAAGAGTGTATATGGCAGATGATCATACAGCACGGAACTGAGTGACGTAGGGAGCTACTGCTGCAAATTCCGAATGCAGTCGGGCGAAGCACATGCAAGGAATGCACTTTCAACGTTTTTGATTCCCTGTCAGGCCGGTCTTTCCTGGGTGTTGGAGCTTATGATCCTCGGCCGAGCTAGAGAGAATCTTGGGACGGCTTCTGGGTGATTGACGGACTGCTGTCCTGTAGACTAAATCGTCTAGCCCAACAGGCTTGATTTGATGCACAGTATGTAGTATCATGGCGGCAGATGCAAATCACCCGGAGACTCTAAGACAATCAAGCCCTTCCATGCAACCTCGGTTGTGTCTAAGTACACACGCTGCGTCTAGCAAAGCCCTTCCATGCCAGTGCGTGCGAGGGACTGGAGCAGCTAGTGAGCCCGGGCGCGCAGAGACACTTGGGCGGCAAAGAGAGGCTTCCAAACGGAGGAATTCATAGTCGGTGTGCCTGTGTGGTTGCCTGAAAGGCGAGCTGCAAAATTGCAGTAGGTGCTTGAAGGCAGGATTCTGGTATCAGGTATTATGGCGCCGCGACACTCGCTTTGCTTGGTTGTTGGTCTGCTTCGAAAGCACGATTGGTGCAGCCTGACTCTAAGGAGAGTCCTTGATCAAAGAGGGCGCCCGCTGTGGCGACTTTCTGTGCCGAAGCGGAAGAGCACCAACAGAGATTCTGAGAATGTACGCAGACCCCTTTGCGAATGACCAATGCCGACACTCGAAACACGATCGACATGGAAGGCAAAGCAACACGGACGGATACATTGCATGTGAGAACAGCTCAGGCACTTCCACCAAAGTGGTGAGTGCTTCCACTCAACCTACAATGCTGCTTGGTAGGAAGATGTCCAATCGGATAGTCAAAGTTGTTGCCAGTTCAAGCACCGGCAGAAGCAGCATTTTGTTTCGGAGTTAGAGGCGAAGCGAACGTTGTAGACTTGTTTACAAAGCCGTTGAGTTGGGTTGTGACCTTGAAGCACGTGTGGGGACTTGGCTTGCGTGACTTTGTCGTGGTTGCCCATGTGCAGGGTCGTTTTCTTGAGTTGTGTGCAGCAGTACTTGTTGGCTGAGCCTGAGCATCGTGAGGTCGGCTACATGCTCGGCGAAGGTGGCTTCGGCAAAGTCTTTGCGGCCTGGACAGCAGATTTGGAGTGTTTGCCACCCCCATGCACCGGACTGCTTAAACTGGGCGATGTCGCCAACCACCATTTGGTGCATGAAGATTGTGAGGAAGCAGAGCAAGGGACAAACGCATGGCACAGACTCGCATTCATGTTGTCCTATCTTGTGGTCCTGCGCAGCATCTGGTGGCATCCATGCTCAGGCAGCGACTCACAAAGCCACGGGATGTCTGCGCGCCGTAAAGCGGCTGCGGAAGGCACAAAGTATCACAAAGTCCTAATCTTCTTTTCAGATCTTCGAAGTATCGGTTAAGCGTAGACGACAAGTCGCACGCAGCTTCTTGACGTGCAAAGCCCTATACAGTATTTAAGATATTCAAGTATACGCGTGTGTGCATCTGTTCGTCCAGTTTCCCAGCGGCTGCTAGGTCAAATGGCACACGAGCATGCAACCCCTGTAGCTGCAGCCTGCTTGGCAGTCTCAAAGTTGAAACATGCGCTTTCTGCTGATTTGACGATCTGTAATTGCCAAGACGACTTGCGATGCGGTAGCAAGTTTGTTGCAAGCGCGCGGTGCTTGCACAGACCCTTGGCCGACAAGAGCTACTGAAGAATGAGCTCAATGCCTTACTCGGCCTAGATCATCCTCACATTGCAGCTTGGCATAGTGGGCTCAAATTGAGCAGCCATTCTCGTAATTGGCGTATGCAGCAGCTTGGAGCAACCCAAGCAGCATGTGCAACGTGGACGGTTTCAGCTTCACGTTGGCTTCGAGGGTGTGTGTGTGTGTGTGTGCGCGCACAACACATGCAGTTCGAACTGAACAGCGCCACTTTGGAGCCATTGAATTGCATTGATAGATGTGACACGTGAGGATCAGGCGGCTTCTATAGTTTCGTGGCAGGCACTGTCTTGCGCATTCGAGGTAAAATTATTGGAATATTATGACGAAGACGAACCTTTGTCGGCACTGGGAAGTAGGGGATGAGCTGATCTTCAGCAGACTCTTGCGCATGGCCAGGACTATCTTTATTTGGTCTTCGAGCTTTGCGAGGGCTTGGACCTGTTAGAAACAATCCGAAGCTCCCCAAGACGAAGGCAGGAAGCCGGCAAGTGCTGTCCTGACGAACATTGCGAGCACTATTGCACCTTGCGTTCAGGGTGTGTGTCGCCAAGGTCTACAGGGACCTGTGGATTTTGAAGGTGTGATCATGGCCTCCTCCCTGCTCCTGTTCAGGATCGAACTATAGAGTCCTATTCGGGCGCGTCCAAGAAATCACGCAATGAATGCGGTATATAGTCCTAGTGGCAGCAGCAGGAGAAGTAGCAATAGTAGTTGTAGCAGGTAGTAGTAGTAGTAGTAGTAGTAGTAGTAGTAGCAGTAGCAGCCGGAGTAGTAGGAGGAGTAGTAGTAATGATAGTAGTAGTAGTAGTAGTAGTAGTAGTAGTAGTAGTAAACTAGCAGTACTGGTGGTGGCAGCGGTTGTAGCAGCAGCAGTAATCGTAGTCGTAGTTGCGGCAGTAGCAGCAGCTGATGAATTCCTGCGGCCACTTCGTCTCGCATGGTCAAGACAGGGCTGGTGATTCGTCAAGCTGCTTTGTGCATACGGATGCTTTGCTGTTTTTCTCTGATTCCAAACGCTGGCTGAGCTGTGCCAGAGACCCCAGTGCACTTCAGCAATGGGCACACCACAGGCCGCAGATGAACAGATGCATCCAGGAGGTCATGAGACGGTAGATCCCATGAGAAACGTGTGGAGTTGGAGGTCCTCTTCAAGATGGGTCACTGCGCAGGAATCCGTGTCGATGTCAAGGAGAGAGTTTCCCCAAGTGACATGAACTTCGCCACCGAGGCCAGGAGGACTTGCGGACCATTCACAGCAGCTGCAGCAGAAGACGCAACCGAGAGAGGGTTAAATCACCTCTATCACAAACAGTACACGTTGATGTGAATCATCGGGAGGTTGGTCGCCAAGATGGGCAGCAACTTCCTCGAGGCTGATGGTGATGAAGGACACCGAATTGCAAACGGTGGTGGTTGGTGTTGGAAGCGCTGGTTTCGTGGCCAAGACCAAAGACGTATACCTGGTCTACACAAGCTGGAAGATGGTGGAGTGGTTTGCTCTTCTCGGTGGGAGCCACGTGGACCTGTGCAGATGGAGGCTATTGCTTGGGAGCGCGGTTCATTTTCGGTCCGACTGGAGGCTTGAAGGACACTGTGGAAGATGGTGTCCCTCACGATCTCTGGACGGATGGTAAGATGAGCGTCGAGGCGCTTGTGGAGCAAAAAATGAAATCGTCGTTGCCCGAGGCAGCACCTGCTAGTGTACCTTGGGATCAGTGCTACGACTGCGTGGGATTAGCCCTGCGGTTTGCCTCTTCCAATCCTTAGAGGCATAGGCTCAGAGTAGTGTAGTGGCGCAGTGACATTTGAATCTTTGCTGCACGGTGTCCTGCTCGTACTTCGCCCCATCCGACTCCGGGAGCAATGTGCTTGAGCAAGTAGTTTGTAGTTGCGTCTTCGTAGACGCTGTGAACACATGGGATTGCACAATCCTTTGCCCTACTTATCTTCCCTGCCTGCAATAGGATACTGCGGCCCCGTGAGCTTGACCCAAGCTTTGCCATGCTTTGATTGTGCACCGTTTGGGCTCTTGGGATGTTTTGGGCCCGGTGCTGCAACAGAGCGGTTTGGCCCGACATCGGAGTGCTGTGCGGTGTACCTGAAATCCTGAATGATGCATACGCGCCGCGATTGCTGCTGCTGCTACTACATACTGCTGCTACTTCTACTTCTACTTCTACTACTCCTTCTACTACTTCTTCTTCTACTCCTACTCCTCCTCCTCCTACTACTACTACTACTACTACTCCTGCTGCTGCTACTACTACTACTACTACTACTACTACTACGACGATTGCTAGGACGACGACGACGGCTACTGCTACTGCTACCGCTACCGCTGCTGCTACTGCTACTGCTACTGCTACTGCTACTGCTGCTGCTACTACTGCATCTACTGCTACTACTACTACTACTACTACTACTACAGCTGCTACTACTGCCGCTACTGCTACTGGTATGCTGCCATCATCATCATCATCATCATCATCATCTTCATCTTCATCACTTGGAGCATCACGGCGACGAGATGCACCTGGAGAGGCAGGAAACTACCAGGTTTTTAGGTGCTTGTTTCCTATAAGGACCCCTCCACTTCCTTTGTTTCCAGATGGGCAAGAGTGCCAGTCATCCGTTGTCCAGTCCGCACCAAGCTCCCAGTGCGTCTCTTGCAGTTTCACCACCCCAGTGTCTCTTTGCTCATCCCTTCTCAACCATTGATTCAACTCCTCGAAGAGAACCTCCGATAACTCCTTAACGTTCCACAACACAAAACGAATTCTAGGTTTTACTCTCTGAACAGCAGCTGGATGAACTAAAAGAATTGGTCCATCCGCTTGCAGACGCTTTCCTCTGTACATCGTAAAACCATGCAGCTGAGCACGCCTCAAAGCACGCTTGTAAGATCTCTTGCGGATCCTGGAAAACTGTACGCCAGTGACCGGCTGTTCGGCTTCCATGAAGCCCTCCCTGCTTCGCCGTCAATGCCTATCCTGATCACAGCACTGCCAATTGACAGCTTCAGGCTCCTCGGAAGGTAGGAGCCAACCCTCACGCCAACGATGCTATATGACCTTCGTTCAACAATCCATGCCCACCGTCCCGGACGTGGGACCGGGATGAGTAACTGGATAATCGTCGTCTCACAATTAGAACTGAGATCACCATGCCAGCTGTGACACTGCACGGTCTTCGGCCAGAGTTCGCAGCTTCTCTCAATGGCACAGGCCGTACTGGAGCACTAAAGCCTTGTTCAGATTGGAGCCTCGAACCTGCTAGAGAGTTTACGTTCCTAACAAGCCCACGTTCACAAGACGACACTCCGGTTCGAACCACTCATGGCACTTTTATTACTCTGCTACGACTGCTCTACCTCCTACTTCTACTCCTAACAACTGTAGTCGTCGTCCCCCGCCTCCTCTCCGCCTTGTCGGCTAACCAGTACTTGTAGGAATTACAGTTTTCATTGAAGGTTCTCGCGCAGCCGTCTAGACTTTGCCCAGCCTGACGCGCAAGGCTACAAGAGTTGGAAGCCTCGGTGGTGTTGCGGCATATGCTGAAGGCCGGACGTGAGGGTTAACGAGGACCTTGACGGTTCAGGACAGGAGGACACAGCTCTGCCAGAATGAGTCAAAGCACAGAGGCGAATGTCCCAAGCACCAGCGCCCAAGACTGGGCACCACCCGTTGCAAACGTCCCAATTGCCGCACAACCCACGCTGCCATTGAGCGCAGGCATTGCAATGCTGCCATGCACAGTATCGAGGTCATTATGCTTCTTGCCACAGATCATTGGGCATCTCTTCAGGTTGAGGGCAAGAGGTTACGTGTCCGAGAGCGTACACTCGCTTCAGGATCTTGCGGTAAGGACGTCTTGCAGTAAGAGACACCGGGGCAGCCACCGCAGTGCTCGGACTGAGGACATCAAGCCAGAGAATTTCATGTTCAAGCGCTCCTTGGGTTGCAGAACATCGAAGCATCGCAAACAAGCAGTGGAGCCTTGCCGGCCTTGTGCGAGTGTGAGAGTCGAAAACAAACATAAGTTTGGCCGTGCAGGGGGCGTCGGCAACTCCGGTTTGCATTTCAGGCGAGACACAAGGTGACATCGCGCATGGCAACCTCAAGAACCTTACTTGCAAGAGGTCCACCTTACGACTGCTGGTGGGGCTGCCCGAACGGTTCTTCAATGCTCACGGCAAGTATTCACGCCAGGCGGGTTTCTGCCAATGAGGCAAGTCTACTCAGCACCGACCTTGAGCCCTGCGCGGGTGGCTTCATGAAACTATAAGGATGGTGGACCTAGGGCTGAGCAGCGCTTTTGACACGCATCGGAAGCACCGCGTTTCTGGCACTACGGCCGCTTGTGCTGGAGTTGGAGCTGCAGACCTGCCAGGGGATTGAGATGGCAGTTGAATCCCTGTCCCAGTGTCGACATGCAAAACAAGAAGAAGAGCCGCTGCGTTCTTATGTTGCTAGGGCACCTGTACTCAGGCCTACATGGCGCCAGAGTTCTGGAGTGGCGTTTATGGTCCTGAAGGTCGTGCCGTCACGTTTGGATGAGCACCGTCCTTGACCCTCACAATAAAAATCAGCGGGGGAAGCCAGGTAGGAACCCTTTTGGCTTTGCTTTAAAGTCTTAAAGCCCTTCCAGTGCTTCAGTTTCCGGCGACAAGATGTTGAGCCAAGTAACGTGCTTGATTTCCAGGCGATGTTTGGAGTTGTGGCGTCGTCCTCTTCGTAATGCTGACAGGCATGCGGTCAGCATGCCAGATAGATGTTAGACCGTCGAACATGCATGCACAACATTGGCTCACGAGGCACTCCACTTATTTTCATAACTTAAGCCTGGCCGATGAGGGTCAGGATCGTCGCATTAGTCTTTCCTGTGCGGCAGTGCTTCTTGTTAGTTGGCGGCGAGAGAGCGACAGAGAGATAGAGCGATAGACAGACCGACTTGAGATACCTCGTGTACCCTTGACATGTGTGCAGCAGTTGCTGCGCCCCGGTGGGCCCTACCCCTCCCCCCCGCATAGTACATAAGCGGCCGTATCCCCACATTTAATTTGGTGATCCCCCTCCTGTGAGACGGGAATGGTTGGGTGGTTTGGTTTAGGGCTTCCCCCCATCGGTTCTGCCTGTCCTCCCGCCTGGAGCGGGGGTCTGTCAACGGACACTTAAGCCCAGGAGAAAGAAAGACGGGCCGATAGACAGACAGCCAGGCAGATAGGCAGGCAGATTTCTCAGTCAAGTGCACTCAGCGGTGGACAGACTCCGGCCTGGAGCCAAAGCAAAGTCATGAGCGGAAGATTTGTACGGTGGGAGCAGCCGCATCTAGCACAGTCTATTGACTCTGCCTTCAGTCAGGCATTCAGCAATGATTCCGAACATTTAAATACCCAGAAAGTCTACCCAACGTTCAAGCGAACCGAGCAGAGTGGGCATGTGCACAATGGGATTAATTCTGCATGGGAGGTGTGCAGCTATCAGTTCGTCATGCCTAAATACAACGGCAGTAGGAGAGCTCATGGCTTAATTGCAATGGGAACTCAATCCATGTTGGCAGAAGCAGTCACGATTATTGAGATGCCAACGCAGCTGCAGTCTACGATGGCAACTTCAGACTTGGATTCCACAATCGGGTGGAAGCACAGCAACCCATACTTCCACAAATCCCTGAAAGGATAAGATTTCTGCATCCACACTGGCCTCCATACCCCGGACCCCCCCAAACCAATAATGCGAAACCTAAGCGATGGATAACATTCGCTTGAATCGCAAACACACACTGAAGCAAACCATGCAGCATTGGATGAAACAGGATTGCGACAAAATCAAGGAAACACTGTCCAGAAGCAGCAGATACTGTAGGAACTCCGCTTCTCGACGACATCTCCCCAGCCACAGTGAAGCGTGGCTTGTCGGCAGCTACTTAGGCCCACAAATTCCTGCGAGCAGAAGCACTTCAGACTTCATTCGAAAGGGTTGCCGCTGCCCAGGCGAAATACGAGTCCGCCAGATGCTTCGGGAACGTGTGTTGTCCGCCGTCACCGCGCATCCCGACAGAGCTTGCTTTCTGAAGCCGTTTGAAGTGGGGCCTTCATAGCCTCAACGTCTGTTGCATTTGTAGGTCTGATGTCGGCTGACTTCTCAGGTACAACATTTCTCCAGTCGCTGCGGATCTACTAATGCAAATGCTTCAGCATGACCGGCATGCGAGGCAGGCATCACTGAAACCAGATAGAGAAACACGATCCTGAATGACCCGCTTCCCCGCATGCCAAGTTTCTGTCAGTCATGTGCTTGTGCGGTGTGTTGATGGAGCTAGAGTTTTCACACGCCCGAGAAGTGGGACCAGCATGGCTGAATAGCACGTTTGACTTGATCCGTTGCCCCATAGTGTTCCACCACGTTCCACTCTTGCTGGTGAAGAGGCCTACCATCAAGGAGGCTTTGAAGCACCCATTCAACACAGATGGGTACGAATTGGAGCGAAAGACGCGCAGCTGCACTACGCTGCACTGGTGACTTTCCTGTTGAATATGGTCTGCCCGGCACACTGATCTCTTCCAAACACCAAAAGGTTCCCACCCCCTCCGGTAATACTAAACCCTAGCTCGTGGCGTCTCCTTGCCATGCCTGCTTCGTGCGAGTGTGTGAGTCGAAACCCTAATTTTCCGTGACAACTAATTTAATATTGGTGGTCAAGAATTTGGATCTTATCATTCCTCAGTTCTTCGCACCCTTGAGTTGGCAGACTCCACACACTGCAGTCCCCTCCACGCCCCTATGGCTTGCGCGGCCGGCACTTCCCCGGCAATGCAGTCTTCCGGTGCATTCCGGGCCAAATGCTCCCCGAAAAGATTATGCCATATTAGGGTGGCTTTAATGATCCAAGGTTGGACGAGAGTACTTGCAAACACGGACACACATGCTAAACAGGAAGCTTGTGGCATGCCTGTCATGTTGTTGGATGTTGCGGACACTTTTCCTCGACACGGCCACGCGATGCCTTGGCTTGGAAGATGCCTTACCGAACATGCCTGCATATGCCTGCCGAGAAGTTGAAGCGGAGGAAGTTCCCTTTATGCTGATATGTATGCTGTGGAAACGCCCTCCAAAGCTATCTTCCGAACTAGGCCTCCGAACGGCTCGCAAGCGGTTGCATGGCACACGTGTCCCGAAGAATCCAGTTGTTCGACAGTGCACTTTGAAACCGTTTGGTTGGTTGAAACTCACCTGGAAAGCTTGGACTGCTAAATCTTCGCAATGCCGACAAGGAGAGAGGTTCGAGCATCCAGAGCAGTCATGTGCCATGCGCACAGAGACCCGGGGTGGGTTGAAACAACGGTGGAGGAGGGTCCGGACGTTACAGTGGATCTGAGCAGCTGAATCCGGGATGGTGACCGACAGCAGTTCCTCCCACCTACTTCGTGGACCCAAGCGAATGTTCGGAGGGTCGAGGTCACCAGTCGGAGGCATAGATGATGATAGATGCCGTCGGTTTCACCGTAATTACAGGGAATGCCCATGTACATTGGGATTGCAATTGGGGGGGCTGCACCCCCCCAAACCCCCCGCTTTCTTTTTATACCGTGCATGGCTTGTTGTTGTCAAGAACATCGCGCCACCAAGAAGAAGCTTGTCAATCACATAAGTTTTAAATAGAAATTTGCCAAGTTTCAACATCCATCATACAGGCAATTTGTCTGCAAACGGTCGAAGCGGCCCCCGCTTTGTTGTGCTGCGCAAGCTCGTTTCAAACATCATCCTGCCAGCATCAACAGAACCCATATGGACCCTTTCAAAGCCCACGACGCAGACGTGCATTGGGTTTTCAGATGGGGGGTCAAGATATGGACCCACCCCCAACCCGCGCTTTCTTTTTGTGCCGTGCATGGCTTTGTCAAGAACATCGTGCCGTCCAGAAGAATTGTGTCAGCCATATAAGTGTAGAAGTTTTCAATTGTCCAAATCCATCACACAGGCGAAGTATTGAATTTTTCAAGGTCCATGATACAGGCATTCTGTCTGCAAGTGGTGGGCCGGGCGCCCCCCGCTTTTTGAAGCCGCGCCAGCTCGTTTCAAACATCATCCTACCAGCAAACACGTACACAGAGTTCCTATGGATGAGAGGCCTGCACATGTACATTCAGACAGAAACTGCCACTTCAGACGGCGTGGAGCTTCTAAATTGTCTATGGCCTGCTTGAAAGAGAGCAAAACAAAAAATACACAGGAAAACAAAAAGCAAACTTCAAGTAATCATGACCCTAAGTACAGCTGGTGGACTTAGGCCGTAGCATTCGTTTGCTCATCATATGTGCCGGCATGCACGAGCCGCCAAGCCCCCCTCCCAAAGCATGCCTTCAAGAGTTTGCTGCCGGCCACACGCATTAATGAACAGAAAAGGAGCTTTTGCGGTTGCTACCCTGCCAGTTAGAGGACGGCTGGTTGGAGCGAAGTCATCTTCAAAATGTCCTGCTGCATTTGTGGCGCGACATCGAACCCCGAGAGCCAGAGCACGCGAGAGAACTGAGCGGATGCAGAGACCGATCGTGCGGAAGTCGAGCACACAGGAATCAGCGTGGCTGGCCATCAAGCCACAAGTGTGTCGTGCCTGGTGCTGAAGTAATGAACTCAGGCTGCCGTCCGTGGAGCGAGACCAGGCGGCGGAAATGCTTGCCAAGCTGCCTGACACAGTCCCCCTGCTGCATGAGAGAAGGTGTGACGAGTTTTGCTGACAGCTCGTCCTTCGAATCTAATGCAGGCCTTGCCAAGCGTTGCTAGCTTGTGTTGCAAGCCAGCTTGTGTTGTGAGGTCCGCGATGTCATGCAGGAGCCGATGCTGTGCCTGAGCTGCAGAACCACTTCTTGACAGCTTACTGCCGGCAGCGCTTCAACGCGGATGTTACAGCGCCTATAGTATAGACAGAACGACACAGGAAGCGAGTGGCTCGCTTGATCATGGTTCATGTGAGCGAGGCCTCGGGGGGGGCAGCGGGGCTTGGCAGGTGAGAGCACCAGCAGGGTGCCAGCTTGTTTTGGCACTTGTCGATCTGCGCACACGTTTGACTGCATTCGTTTGACTGCGAGCTGCCGCTCCGAATATTCAGCGGGTTCCCGGAAGCCACGGACGATTGCCTTGTCAGGTTTCTGAAGCGGCCAGTTTGGCTTTCCGAATGCTAGGCCGGGGGGAACACAGTGGTAGCGGCAAGAAAGTGAAGCCTTCATTGTTAGTGGCAAGGAGAACACCCATGCATCTTGCGTAACGGCTGCCATGCAGACTAGCGCAGCCTAAATACATACTCCTTTTCCTAGGCCCTAGGCTCCGCTTCACCTCCCCGACAGCATGTCGCGCAGATCTGCATGGCTACGGAGAACTCTCCATTTCGGCCTTGGAGGACAATCAGAAAGTCTTTAGCTCCTTGGCAGATGGCAGCATTGGGACAGCTTGCGCTTGAAGCTGAGCTCTTGCATCTCTTTCCCACTCCTGCTTCCGTGTGACTGCTCATATTCGCTCGGCATCCTGTGGTTTGCGGCTCGAAAAGACAGACAGCTAAGGTGATGGGAGGTTGCCTGACGACTTGGACGAAATTTTCGACTCCCGGGCAGCAGTTGAGGTCGGTCGCTGTGATTTGATGCGCGACGTCATGTCCGCGCGAGTAGGCCGTTCACACATGACAGCACTTTGACCGAGTCCAGCACTTTCATGCTTTGATGAAGCAGGGTCCGCGTTGTAGCCTGAGCTACGTCACTTCTGGCCAAGGAGGCGATGGACTTGAACCGAGATGGCACGGAAGCCCGGAGTTTCGAGTTTCTTGAACCTGCTCCTCGAGTGCTGAAGTTTTGCAACACAAAAGAAGCTCTGGCACAGATGCATGCAAGGCTACATCAGCTATCGGGCCTTCTTGGCAGTGACACTTTCAGACGACATCCGCTGCGACTCCAACATTCTTGGCGTGCCTGTCACTGATTTACGGGGTGTCTTTAAGTTCAATGACACCAGCATGTGTCAGGAACTTCGATGCTTGGGCCCGTTTTCTGAACAGGCGTTGATTACAGAAATCAATTGTTTTGGGGTTCTTGGCTTGAGACCTTAGATGTTGAGACGTTACACCGCACGGTTCATTCCTTCGGGCTTCCCAGGTGACGTTTCGGATCCTGGACACAGACAAGGACATCGGATGTGTCGAATGTTCACGACCCACGTCCTGATCCGGCTTGCACGCCTGAAGCTATGTGCCCTGAAAGGTGTCAGATTCAGAATTATGGTGTTGTTGAGAGTGTTCAAGCAAGTACTCGTAGCAGAGCAGGATGGCTTCATTGGGCACACGGATTTGGCCAAGGCAGGGGCAGACAGGCGGATTAGTACTCTGCAGAATCCCGCCTCGGTCTGTGACATGAGGTCTTCGGGCATGGACCCGCAACTGAGCAGCAGAACGCCTAGGCCTAGACCGTGTTGAGCGCTATGCCGGCTGGAGCTCATGATGTCAAGCCCGATGTGTCACGTGCCTGCTTGTACGTGTGGTTGTTCGTGACCGAGGACTCCGAGGTCTGCAGCCTCACCATTAGTGAGGTCAGCCCAGCCTCTGGGTTGACTTTACAGAATGTCGGCCTTTCTGACCGGGTGCGTTTCCTCGCCAAAAAAGAGGGCCCATGTCTTGAGCCCAAGGATAGCAAAGTCTCTTGGCAAAGCTTCATGCAGCTTCTCGCGCCGGAGTTGATTGTGGCCGCCTGGCAGCTTGGAGACGACCCACAGCCTCACTAGGCTTTCTCCAAGTCGGAATTCGAGTTTGCCCTCGTTGGTAATGCGTCGGTCGCCACCCTTGCGATGCTTACTGGACGATCAAGCTTTTTCGGACCGACTCACGGCGAACCCTAAAAGCTCCTTGCAGGCCAACGCCTTGCTCCAGCATTGCATGCAGCTTGCAGAAGCCAAAGCCGACAAGCGGACATGCTTCTGAGCTGCGTGGCAGCCAACTCCCGACTTTCTTGTTTCAAGCAAGCGGTTGATGTTTCAGGTCCTGGACCCAGTTCATGCAAGGTCTTGAAGTTCTTGTTGAATGCGGCCGACCATGTGAAATCGCGTGGAGGTTGCTTTCCTACTTATAATTTTTACCAAGAGAGCCGATGCATAAACGCGAGGCAGGCCACGTGATGGGTTGCAGCCTGGCACAGGATTGCAAGTTTCTATCCGCCCCTTCGCCGAATGTTGCTGTGTAGTTCACATCTGTGGAGCTGAGATGTGTTCGTGCTACCCCATCAACCGAGACAACCAGCGCTTGATCCAGTCGAGTATCAGGGACGTTGATCCCAGATGGGATCGATTCCTTGGGCCTGGGACCGAAGCGACAGAAAGGGAAACAGTGACCGGCCATCGAAGTTTGCAAACGATGCCGCGTATGGAAAGTTCATGAGGTTTGCATCCAGCGGGTTGTTGGTATAGTGCTGCTGGACGCACCGGATCTTGTGATTCCTCTCTCGCGTCGTTACACACACAGCAAGGAAATGCTCGTATTTGTAGCCTGCATAAGCGAGTGTTTGTTCGTGTTGTCAGGGGTTTATGGATTTGCATGTGTGCGTGGGCTTGCGCATATTGCGCATGAGAGGTGTACGGAATGAAACAGCACTTGTTGTGTACGTAGTTGTTGTGCTGTTGTGTAGTTGTATGTTTGCAAGGTGTACGTATGTAGGCAGGCATGCAGGCCGGCAGGTCTGTGAGTGGGTAGGTAAGTACGTACGTACGTATGCAGCCTGCATGTATGTTGGAAGGATGTTATTTTCCAAGTCTAGCAAGGTGTAATAACGCAGTTCAATGATTCGTAATCTTATGTAACTCAGTCTAGTGTACTGCAATGTCTTGAGCAGCTTCGCTTGCGGTTCAGGGATATCGTCCGATCGAATGAGTTAAGAAAGTGTAATCCGAAACCTGTCACTCCATCAGACCAGTGATCGCTTCGAAAGTGACTTAAGCCTTGTGGCCAGGACCACACTTAATTCGTGCACTTGCAGAGGTTGTCTGCTGAGAGTGAGACGTATGCTTGTCCAACTAATGCTGTCCGAATACCCACAGACTTCTGGACATAACACGGCATGACACCTGAGCAAAGTAGCTCCTTTGAAGCGGTTCCCGCGCATGGTTGTGGCTTGCATCCCACAGACATTGTTCGAAGGTGGACCTGTTGATAAGATGAGTCATGTTCTCGCGCCTACACAACGACCTTGCGGGTGCCTGGTACAGTATGGCACAATGCCCACTTTTCATGCACGCCACAAACGGGCCATATTTTTCAGACTGGTGAAGGCCCTTATGTTGCCCAGTCGAGATCTTCTGTCTGTCAAACACTTGTTACATCACTTACATGGCTTGATCCCGTTGCGGAGGATGACGGATATCTTCTTCAGGGCAACGTCAAGACATGTCTACAAAGAGTAGTGTTGCCCGGTAGGTATTCCTGGTCCAGTGCTTTTATTGATTTCTGGCTGATCATGGAGTGGAAGATAACTAGTGCTCGTCACAGGACGGCATGATGCCGAGATCCTGAGATAAGAGGCTGGACCATGCATGACAATCGGCCAGCTCATAAAGTGATGCTGGTATTGGTGCTGCCTTATGCGATACCCGTGACAAAAGTGTGCTCACAAACACTCAAGCGTGGGGCAAGCCGGTTTCCTGTTTGCAGCGGAGAAGGGAGAGTACGTCCTTGCCGATCCAAAAGAGTTCGTCGACGGTGATGCCTCCGGTCAATACTCTCGTGATGGAACGGTGAAGAAGTTGCATCGGAGCAAAACCATCATCCAATCAGGCTGTCCCGTGCTGCCACCTTGGGTTTCCTGCAGTCTTCATGTAATTACCAATTTCAATTCAGCTGTTTGTCTACACTGCATATGCTGACCCTGGAAAATCTCCATGCGGCATGCAGCAGATCTTCAGCCACTGAACACAGCAGAGCACATCCAGAAACTCATGGTGCGCCGGCGGTTGGGTGATGCTGGTCCGGGCGGACGAGGCAAGGCCCCCCTGGGTGTTTTCGAAGCTTTCCTTCATACCGTCTAGGTGCGGGACGTTCCGGTGGGGGCTATGACGAGGCTGGCAATGCTTAGTGCACGGTCGATGGACCCTTCGAGTGGGCCCGCGTTCCGTTCAAAAAACGGCTGCTTCTGCGATTCGTGCGATTTCTTGAAAGCGACCAGGCCCAGGCCCAACCTGGAGCGGTCCCGCGAGGCCGAATTGTGCAGAAGCATTTGCTGTCACACTGAACCCTTTGCCACGGAGGAGAGCGAAAGCCGACCAATCCTCTCACTGCCGGACAAGTGCACGTGGCGTTCAAATGCATCTTGGCACGGGAAGATTGACGAAGCCTTGAACTTGCTCATCACTTGTCCATACGCGATTCTTCTTTGCATGGAGACTCTTTTCATGAGCTTTGCCATCATCGAGACTTCCATGTCCAGGTCACAATGGCAAACACATCAAAGTCGAATCAAACGAAGAGCTGCGTGCTTCGAGCTCGGCCACGTGGCATTTCTCTCGCAGCTGTTTGTAGAAGCATGTAGAAGCGTGATGGGAAAGGATAGCCAGAGATCAACGGTTCGACCGACCGAAACTGATAGAAAGTTGGGGCTCGAACTTGCACTTGAGAGCCGGTGCCGCATTGCAGTGAATAATGTCCGCTTCCCGCTGTCTACTGACATGAAGCTGTGTGTTTGTCCGCACCAAGGTCATCAAAGAGCCAGAGAAATTCGAGGTGGAGCGCTATGACAGTGAGTCAATCTACTTGAAGTCCCATACTGGAAAGTATTTGACGGTGGACAAAAACGGCGACGTGCACGCATCAGGAGACATGGGGCGAGGATAGGGTTTCGAGTGGCGTCTCCTGACTTTGCTGATCAATGCTGGGGAAAGCCTTGAGAGCTTTGCCAGGAGCATCTGGCTCCGATGGATCTGTCTTCCAAGTTTTGCTCCAGGACCATCGCTGGCAGCCGCTAGCACAGGCTTTCTGAGTTGGCGACCGACAGCTTGATGTTTGCCAGCTCCCTGAGAAGGAGAATGGGCTCGTGGCCTTGCGCAGCCACTGTGGGTTCGTTGCGGCCGAAGCAAATGGCCGGATCCGTGCAAACCGATCCCTGATAGGCCTGTGATGTGGTGAGCGCAACTAATTTCTGTCCGTGTGTGACCCGAGTCGGGGCTAATGGAGCGAGTGCACCAGTGGAAGGAAGCTGGGAGCTGTTCCAGGTCAAGGACAACCTCATGTGAAAGTGCTGCACTTTCTCGTGGCAAAAGCCTTGGCTTCGCTGATTTCATGGCCAAAACAGGCTTCAGAGAGAACCTTCTTTGGAGGACCGCTCTAGAAGGAACCGCTCAGAGCATCCAGGTCACGAGCTTCCGGAGCCGGCAGCTTGGCCTTGCTTACATTCCGGAGTCCGGAGGTGGTCTCCATATGTCTCCATCAGCGGAACTAATCTTGATGCGAGTATCCCAAGCGACGCCATATGCGGCAATCAGCCATTTCTGCAATACCGCTACAACCACAATCGTCAAGTACGGGCTGAGCAGGGATATGTGCTTTGCTGCTGTTCTCCATTCATCTCGATGTGTCAGTTCATTTGGGGCACGAAAGCCGGAAAAGAGGCACGGGACATGTTGCCTTTTAGCCTGCATGATAAGGATGAACAAGATGATGCTCCTGCCTTTTTCGATGCTTTCTGCCGCCTGGCCACGACAACCAGTGAGATGACAGTTGCACGTCTCTTGGTGAAGCAGCGCATTGACCCGCCTGCTCGTCTTTGCATCGGGAAGAGATGAAAATATGATTCTATGATGTTTCGATTATTCAAACTCAGAGGAACTCAGATGGCTCAATGCTCAAAGCCGAGGCCAAGTTGAAGGCATTCTGACTGCGGAAGAGCGTTACGCGAAGACCCACCATGACCGGCAGGGCTTGCAGGGCATCATCCCTTACTAGTAGGTTGGTGAAGGGCAAGGATCCTGAAACTGCCTCACTGAATACTGCTCCACTGACTGACTCAACCCTCGAGGATCGCACGGCAGTGCTCTTCGACAAGAGGGCGCGGTCCCGTCGGCGAGATCGCGTGGAGTGGAGCTTCAAGCACTTCTACGTGGAAAAGGAGCAGCCCAGTGGAGGAAGGATGAGCAATAGAGTTTTTCCGAGTGGGTTACGGTTGCCGTTGCGGAAGTTGAAGCTTGGCCCATGGGAAGCGAAAAGAGCGCTTACACTGTGGTGGGGACAGGACCAGAGGTCGCAGCATCGCTCCTGCAGCTGAAGCAAAGCGGATGCAAACTTTCGAGGTATCCTCCCTGCTTTCGCGGCTGTCTTTCGGCATGGGACATCACCCGCGTAGAGATCGACACAGATGGCCGCGTGGTGGCATTGAGACATGTGAACAATGCACACCATGTGGTTGCGTCAGTTTCGTTCTCTTGGACTCTGAGACAAAGAACACAATGCAGTTTTGAAGTAGCGGGGCCAAGACAAGATGGCATCGGTGCATACGATTTCCGTGCCAACTCGAGTGTCGCGCCTTGGAGGCTTGGCATCCCTGGGCCACTCTGGATCAGGGCCGATTAGGGTCTAGAGTCTAGAACTAACTAGCTCAGTAACTGACTGATTGACTCACTAACTAACTAACTAACTAACTAACTAACTAACCAACTAACTAACTAACTAACTAACTAACTAACTAACGAACAAACGAACAAACGAACAAACGAACCAACAAACAAACTAACCAACAAACCAACAAACCAACGAACTAACCAGCTAACGAACCAACTACAATTGCTCCTGCCACCGCTACCACTCAAACCGCTTTAGATTGCTCGTGGTAAAAGCTGAAGGATTATCTGCCGTTTCAACATGGCCACTGTGTCATTGGCAGATGTGCATGGGGCGGAGGGAGGTACCGCCCCCTCCAAGCCAAGCCATTTTGCAGAGTGCCCAGTGCTGGGGAAACCCTTCAACCAGGGTTGACGAGAAGCCGCCTTTGGACATTGTGGCCACAAGATGCTTGATCTTGCACACAGCCAGTGCTTTGCAGACTGTTACAGTGAGCTGTCACAGCACAGTCGGTTTGGGCCAACGGCTATGGGGGCTCGAGCGCATGCGAAAGAAAGGGCGTACAACGCCTGCAAGGGTTGAAGGCCTTGTCAACCATGCTCCGAGACCGCTTTGTGCAGGACAGCCAGAAGGCCCTGAGACCGACGGTCAGGGAGACAATGAAGATTCGGCGGATGATAGTCCGTGCGGTTTTGAGTGACGACGATCCGGACGACGAATACACGTGGGGGCGTTCTGCTTCACGGAGGCTGGGCAATGTGTTTGTCCACGCCCATCCCTTGTGCGAAGCTGGGTTTTAAGCATGAGTTGCATTTAGAATGACCACAGTTATCCATTTGACAATGACCAATCATGACGAAAGGCAAACGCTTCGCCGTGTAAAATCTTATCCTTAAACATGCATGGATTCTCTTGCGACAACGCTCAAGCACATGCTCATGGGTCACCGGCCTTATTACCCAAATATCCTCATGGCAAAGGCCTTGGCACCCGACACCGGTGTTGCGATACGTAAAGATTGTGATTCCAACAAATGTGAAGGCAACAAAACGGGGGGGGAGCCTAGGGACCAGTCATCGCCCGCTTTGCAAGTCCAACAAGATCAAGTCAAGTAGCTGCAGGCAGTCCAAAGTTATGTGCTGAAGCCCCCAAGTTCCCAGATGCGCAAAAAAGGCAGCCTTGAAAGAGCATTGGATGAGGGGAATCGAGCAAGTCGACCCACACACAGCTATGTCGACATCTGGTCTTCACACCGGCTTCACCGATTGGCTTGGTTGGCATAAGTCGTCAAACCTTGAACCGGCCAGCTACGAAGGCCTTACTTCATGGTTTGTGGTTTGCTCCCACATGCGACGCGCGCGCAAGGAAACGAGCAGCGGATGCCAGATCGGATTCAGCTGTGAAATGAGGTTGGACAGATCCTGTCACGAAGTGGTGAATCATGGTGACGCCGAGGTGAAACTGATACCAAGGCCGAGGATAGCGAGGACGCTGTGCGAACCAGGCCAGGCCAGATGTCAAAATGCAAAGCGAAAGTCATAGGCTGCTGGGATGTCCCGTGCATCAGAGTGAGCTGATGTGCGGTTGTCGTCCTCCCTCCTGGCAGGACACGCTCGGGGTCGGATGGCTCGGAGGTGCGACATGAAACAAAGTTAACATGTGCTCCAAAGCAACTGCAAGCCGCTTCCCTCGTAACCTGGAAGAGACGAGCTTGAGCGGAGATCTGAAATCTCGAGCAGGTTGTAAGCTTCGACGGCCTCGAGGCGGGCAGATGTCACTGGAAGAAGATTCTCCACGAGGAGCCACAGGGCAACTGAACGAAGCATCAGTCCTTCAGTTGCCCCGAGGGGCTCCACAATTCCTCACGGTGCTCCACCTGGTGACATTTCCTTCTTGTCGACCGGCTCAGAATTACCGGAAGACCAAATGGAGGCAGATTCGGGATGGCGGACCTCACGCCCGTCGCTGAATCACAATTTTGAAGCAGGGAAAGTTGAAGAGTCGACATGTGCGCTGCAAAGCTGCTTATGATTGCAGTTTGTGAGAGGGGGATGTAGTGCACATCGCCTTCAAGTCGCACATTTCTTTACCAACAAGAACTTGCATGTTCTCCGCAAGTTCTTGCTGCTTTGCTGCCAAAGCTGCCCTGAGACCCGTGGGGCACGTGACGGCACGTGCAGACCTTTCGGTTCGCCCTTGCAGTTATGCAGGGGAGTAGGCCAGCAGCGTCCGATACAAGAGTTTCCTAGACACTTCCCCTGCCCATCGTTCTTCACCTCAAAGTTTTCGAAGGATCTCACAGATGCTGTGCGCATCATCGCAGCATTCGGCGTGCCAGCCGTTTCGGCTGCGGACGCAGACGAGGCAGCCTGGCAGCTGCTGGAACGCAAGTAGTGCTCAGCATCACACCGCATTCGTGTTCATGTGAGACGAACACAACGCAGCGCAGCACCACTTCTGGATACTGACCGACAAGCGTCAAACCTTGCGACCCCTGCTCAGTCTTTCAATGAGAAGAGAACGCAAGTAGTGCTTAGTGCAATGACATCTATGTCACATTCGGCAATCAACCGTCAACATTCTTGCTGCTTTCGTTTGCAAAGTCCGTAAAGCTCATGCTGCTAGACAGTCTGACTGTGCTTACAGTGTTGTCACTGGTCGGTGCTCCTTTTCTTTAAATACTCTAAGATGAGATGACATAGCTGTTTCGTGTTTCTTGCTGCTCAAAGTAACCTGTCCGCGACCGAGGCGTCTGCTGGCAGCGCAATCCGGCTGCAAACAAAGAACTGGGCATGTTCTCGTCATGTGTGCAGCCCAGAATGCGATCATGTTCATATTTCACGGAACTTGACAATCAAAGGTGCTCTTCGGGGCTTTGCAAGGCTATCGGACCGATCGGCATCCTGGCCTTAGCACAGTTACATCAGGCGCGTGTGAAAAGGTTTGGCACCCATTCTACTTTGGGCACCCGTGCTTAAACGGGGCTTCCGTATACTTAGGCCATGTGAGCTGTTGCTCCAGGACCGTGCTTGCGTGCTGAGGAGTCGACTGCAGCCCTTTGCCACCAACCCTCGACGCAGTGTTTGCCGAGCGTTTTGCAGGCAAGAACTCGCACTTACGGACATTTCGCTTTTAATCAGCCTTTTCTGACCTTGGCTTGCATGTCTAGCTTCCATGGAAGGTCTCAGTGCTGGTTCGATTCGGCTCAAGTTTGGCGCCCTGCCTGGCGAGGCCTACGATGTCGACAAGGCAGAAAGAGAAAATTGACAAGGGGAAGTGTTTTACAGATTCAGATTTGAGAAAAAGGATGAGCGATTCAAATGACATGTCGGTCAGTGAATGTTCATGATTCACAGACACATCCGTGCAGACTTTGCAGATCTTTGCAGGATCCTGTTTTCCTGGCCTGGAAGCGAGCGGCAGGTCCTAGTGCCCGCGGAGAGGACTGGGTACTTCAGCACCTCGCAGAGCAAAGGCTAAGAGGGTGTGAGTTGCCTCGGCAGTCGTGGTTGACATGTGTTGACATACTGTGTTCGGTATCGTATGGGATATTCGAAATCATGAGACAGTTGTGCACCGTGCACAAACGCAAAACTTCGAAGGGGATCCACATTCCAACCACAATGAGCATCCGAGATACTAGTCCTCCGCAGACGAAGCTTGCCAACCTGGTCTGCTGGCTTGCGAATAAGCCCTGGACTTTCGTCTCGGGGCATTCGATTCGAGCTCCTGTCAGGGGTTGAAGGAACTTGTGACTCGTGAAGTCGTATAGTTTTCGAACAGGTTTACGGTTCAATGAGTCGTGGTCGCGATGCCTATGAGGAAGAGAGTCCACTTAAAAAACATGTCCCATCCAATGTCTTCTTCAGCCCAACTGGAACACTCTAGCAGACTCTAGCAGCAAACCGCATACGCCACAAAGTTTGCCATCAAACTTATACGTCGCTACTCTTAATCTCTTAAGGTGCTTCTGGGTTTGCGGGCAGAAAGGCCACCACATGCCACCACCCTGGTACACGGCCAACAGCTCACAGCCGAGACCGTCCCACTAGCGCTGCTCAGAAGCTTAGGAGTGTGTGCTCTAACGACTTGATGGCCGTGGATTCGTTGCGCGTGTGTGCATCACGTGGCTTGCAGACGAGAGCGGCCCAAACCAACCTGAAAGCCGTCAGAACAACCGTCGATGCTCCATGTGACCACCACACTGAGTCCTGCGGTCGCAGCAAGAAACACTGCGCATAATAGTTGTGTGAGCTTTGCCTGTTCGCCACACTCTTCCAAGTTCTGGTTGAAGCAGCGTTTATCTGCCTCGATTCTGAAGACTCCACATGCTGGAAGCAGGCATGCTGACTCGCGTTTGGCAGAGTTTGAGGCTGCCAGGCCAGCCAGCAGCCAATTCCTGCAGTGCAGAGCATGACACCCTGAGTTGGCCGGGAGTCTGAAGCACACCGCCGGTCAATGGCGGTCAGCTCGGGTAGCCTTAAATCTCGGCGCAGGTCAGACTACGAGCGCCGTCGATTGAGCGAACAGGTTTCCACGGCAAAGCCTCTCGGTTCACAGATGGCGTCGGGTGGCTCCACGTACCTCTGAGCTGTGCCCTGTCCCTGTCATCCGTATGCGAGGCGCTGCTGTGCCAGTACTATTAGTAATCGTCGTCGTGACCCTAGTAGTCGTCATAGTACGTAGTAGTAGTAGTAGTAGTAGTAGTAGTAGTAGTAGTCGTAGCAGTCGTAGTAGTCGTAGTAGTAGTAGTAGTAGTAGTAGTAGTAGCAGTAGTAGTAGTAATAATAGTAAGCATAGAAGACATAGCAATGGCCATAAGAATAAGAAAGAGCAACAAGA